GAGGACCCTAACTGAAGGTGGTGAGGGATGAGAGGGATTAAAAAAATAAGCAAGGAACCGGTGCATAACAAACGGAATTAGTCTTCTCCTAGTTATTGCTGTTAAGGGCCTTTGCCTGCTAAACTCTGTTTTTATTTATTATTATTTATTTTGAGACAAGGTCTCACGATGTAGTTCAGACTGGCCTTGAACTCACTATGTAGCATGGGCTGGCCTCAAACTTGCTGTGATCCTCTTGCCTCAGCCTCTCAAGTGCTGCGATTACAGATGTAGGCCACTGTGCCTGGCTATGCTCTGTGTTTTTAAAGGCAAAAGACTCTTCCAGTGTCAGTAACACACGCCTAGAGTGTGCCCTGTGATACCTTCATGTGATTGCCCTCTCCATTCCTTTCCCTAGAAATTCCTAGCAGCACTCCCCCAGATCATACCCGCAAGAAGACCACCAAAATTATGCTTTAGAGCTTCTCCTTCCCCACTGCCTCAACCACACCAACATGCCTGTGGGAGTCCAGTAAGGAAACAGAAACTGTTGATGGATGTTCCGGCCCAAGACTTCAGATGCTCTGAAGGTTGTAGCCCAAGTGTGACAGAAGGATGGGAATAGTTAGAGCGAGCACTCAAGACTGAGGAATTCGACTGGAAATCTCCCATTTCTTCTGTCCTTCACCCCACAGGAGTCTGGAGAAGAAAGGGTGGCTGCAGTGTAGCTTCAGAGGGGGCTGCCCCTGAAGCAGACAGGAACAGAGAAAGGACAAGTCAGTGCTGCATAGCTGGCACTTAGCTGCCCACTGCCACATCCCAACTTCCTAGCCACTTGCTAAAGAGTAGAGGAAGAGCTCATCCGGAGCTGAAGGAGGCCAGGATGCCTGACTTAGAGTCTTTTTCCATCTCTCTGGCTGCCACAAGAGCCGAGTAAAAACAGAAAGTGTAGCCACCAGCTCCCATCTTGTCCCTGACCTAGGCCTGGGCCTGAGCCCAGGGTGTGCCAGGAGGAGGGGTGTTGGCCTCAGTGACAAAATTCATTTGGAATTCATCAAGGTTGTGGCTTGGGGCTAAGCTTGGCTCAGAGTGTGTCTGATGAAAGAAGGAAAGCTAGAAAAGAAAGGACAGAAACAGGGAAAAGCTAAACTGTTGCTGCTACAACTCCATTGGAGAATCTCCTTCCCCTTCCTGAATGAAAAATTCATAGGGTGTTCTTTCTCATTATTCTCTTTCATATCCTTTTCCAGTTCTAGCTGCACCTCTTCTCCTTTGCCCCTACCATATGCATGTGAGGTTCAGTAAGGATCTGAATTAAGAATAGGATATCCCCTGACACCCGCACACTTTCAAACCGAGAATTTTCAGTGCTCAAATGGAGATTCATGACAAAAGATTGCTATAAAATACTGCCCTAACCCGACACAAATGTCTGTACTACCATGTTGCTCCTCTCATTTCACCTAATTAGAGAATAATTTGGGTAGCAGATAAATCTATTGTCCAGAGAAGGAGAGAGAATTATTTCTACATCCATGGCTAAGGTCATGACCTGTTACGTCAGCATCTTGAAGTCCCCCAGGTATGTAGTCATTTGTAGTTTTAAATTGTGATATATCCCTTTTAGCATTGAATCATAGGAAAATAGGTTTATTTTCAAAGATACTGAGTTAGGAATAGAGAGAATGGAACAAAAAAATTCTGTTTTCTCAGGTTGTCTTATTTTTATTTATTTTTTTAAAACAGGTCTCTGTAGTGCAGGCTGGTCTTGAACTCACTTTGTAGCCCAGGCTGGCCTTAGACTCCTTTCAATCTTTCTGCCCCAGCTTCCCAAGTGCTGGGATTACAGGAATGTGCCACCACACTTGGACTCAGATTATCTTTCAAATGATCAAGACATTCATTTAGTAAAATTAGTAAAATTCTTTTACTAAGATTAGGAAGGACAAAATACATACGCAGATAATTCAGTTGGAGAGCATGCTGGTTTTGCTGGTTTCCAGAGTGTGGAAAACACTTCCCATTTTGAGCACAGGAATCGCTCCAGTGGCGCAATCAGTTAGCACACGCAGTACTTATAGAGCACAGGAATCCCTTTTAACATGTTTCCCATCAGTCTTGCATCTACCTCTGTACCTCCCAAATTCACTGGTTTGGAGTCAGAGAAAAGTATCTGCTGTGTTGGGTACACATTCAATGCTGAGATACATTTAGGATTTGAAAACCACCAGAGCAGATGTGACCTCACAATATAGGCCAGAGAGTCAACAAGCTACTTCCAGAAGACAAATCTAGTTCTGTAGTATGTTTTTTGTAAACTAAAGATTTTTTGTTGGGAGTGATGGTGAGGTTTTTGTTTGTTTGTTTGGTTGGTTTGGTTTGGTACTAGGGATTGAACCTAGAGCCTTCACACTGAGCTATGTCACCAGTGCCTTTTTTTATTTTTGATTGATTGATTGATTGATTGATCCAGGGTCTACCAAGTCACTAAATTGTCTACTTTGGGCTCAAACTGGTGATCCTTCTGCCTCAGCCTCCCAAAGTGCTGGGATTATAGCCATGTGCCACTACACCATGGTGTGAGTTACATTTTATTGAACTAAATCATGCTTATTCATTTATGGATAATCTTTGGTTGTTTTTGATCTCTAATAGCAGAGTTGAGTAATTAAGGCAGAGCTGGGTAGTTAGGACAAAGTTCACACTATACATGATCTAATATGTACATACTATCTAGCCATTTACAGGGAAAAAAAATGCCAATCCTTGTTCTAGGCAATGATCAAGGTGATATCTGGAGTACTTCAGGTATGTAGAGAATAATTAGGGCCTGCATTTGATTTTTTTTAGACAGGGTCTTGCTATGTAGTTCAAGCTGGTCTGAAGCTCATTATGTAGCCCACACTGACCTGGACTCAGAGTGGGCGATCCTCTTGCCCCAGCCTCCTGAGTGCTAGGATTACAGGTGTGTGCCACCACACCTAGCTAATAGGGCCTACATTTGATTCTCTAACGTGTTACCTAGAAGTCCCTCCCGGTTTCACAAACTAAAAGTTTGCCAATTAAGTCACTGAGGATTATTTCAAATCCTTTGTGAAACTCAGCAGGATATAAATAAAGTCATTGAGAATGGGGGGTGCTTCACCAGAAATGAAAGGATGGACCAAGATCCCAAGTATGGGACTTCCAGGAAGATGGCAGAGTGACAAGCAGCAGAGAAATAGCCTCTCCAAGATTTGATGTCCAGATGCTGGAATATAGCAGTGTGAGGAAGAGAAGGAGGGAAGTGGATCCCCAGAAAGTGAGAATTGAAGCCCACAGAGCGTGAAGAGGGAGACTTCAACACAGAGGAAGGAGGTGGCAAGAGGCACTATCTCCCTGAGCCCTGACTCGCTGGATGGGAGGGGCAGCTCAAACCTGCAGACATGCGGTGACTACTGGTAACCCCAGAGGCCTCCACAGAGGAACACACCAGTGGAACATAACCGTGGACACTGGACTGCAGTGGCTGGTAAGTTATTTGGGAGGGCGATTGGCCAATAACCATCTTGGAGAGGGGCCAACAGACCTCAGAACTCAGAGAAGCTGCAGGTTGGCTCCATCTTAGCAGCTCCCAGTGTCAGGGTAAAGTGGAACCAAGTTCAAATTGGCAGGAGGCCAAGAAGCCACATTGAAGCTGGCAGGGAGCTGAGTTCAAGCCAACAGGAGGAAAACAGAGTGCTGCAGGTTGAACAAATCGGGCTCTAGCTTCCGAGCCGGAAACCAGCCTGGCCAGGCACGGTGGCGCACACCTATAATCCCAGCACTTGGGAGGTTGAGGCAGGAGGATCACCATGAGTTCAAGGCTAGCCTCAGCTACATAGTGAGTTCAGCATGAACTGAATTATAGAGCAAGACCCTGTCTCCAAAAGCAGGAAAAAACAAAAAACAAACAGTCTGAAGTTCAGTGGAACTAAACATACAGGCTTACTGAGATTATCCACTTCCTGCTGTAAATGTACAGCTGGTTTGCTGGGATTAATCAACATGGATCTGGACTCTTGTCTGCCCACTCTGTCTACCAGTGACAGCAGAGATACACCTTGAAGTGGACATTTTTTTTCTTGTTTTTGTTTTTTTTTTCTCTTTTCTTGATTTTTTTGTTCTTGTTTTTATATGAGTGTAAACATTGTTTCTCATTTTTTGTGGCTGTTCTCTTCTGTTCTTGTTTTTATTTCTTCCTTCTCCGTTCCCCTCCTGTCTTCTTCACCAGTTTCCCAAAGTTCACATAATCTTCCTTTGTCCTCCAGCCTTGCCTCTAATCCCTTCCTCTTCTTCTTTTTTGCTATTTTTTCCCCTAACCCCTTTTAAATTTTCTCCCCTGAGGGTAAAATTGCTATACTGAGGGCATATTTACTGTACAATTTCCGGTTTGTTTTAGATATTGTTATATAACCACAAATCTAGTTCATATGATTAAAGGTGGCAAATTAATAGTTACCACTGCGTGTCATTTTCTAGGCTGTGTTTGATGCTGTTGTTATTGCTGATTTACCACTTTAGCCAAGGGGACATAATTGTTCTAATCAATTGTTCTTCCTGGTATGCCAAGACTGAAATTGCCTAAGGGCCATAAAAAATACTATAGGCCAGTGCCAGAGAACCAGGGGTTGGGCCAAATATGCAGCAACTTCTCATCCCCAATAAATTGAAGAGGTGGGATCTTGCTACAGACTCAAAGCCGAAAAGCCAGCTATACCTGGAAGACATCTCTGAGAAGTAGCCATTTCCTAGCCATTACATCTCTGAGAAGTAGCCATTTCCTGGTTCTAAATACTCCCAGTAAAGCTACTTGCCATAAGCAGTTTATAAGCATCAACCTAGGAATTAAACTAAAAAAAAGAAATAGAAATTGAGAAGACACTTACGCAAGATGCAGCCCCAGACTTCTAGGTCCCCAAAGACAAACCCACAGGGCGATGAGGTGGAACAATTCAGAATCCTCAGGATTGCTGGATATATCACGATCTGCATTCCACCAGTCCAGTAACTTAATTTATTTTAGTTTCAAGAACAATAATCAGTACAATAAATTACCCATTTCCTTCCTCCTCTTTTCCCAAGGAGGGAAAAGGGGGTGCCAAGAGTCTCAGGAGGGTCCCCTATAATACCTGAATGGAAGGAGATCGCTTTCCTAAGGGCCTGGACTTTCTGAAGTCCAGCTCTCTGAGGATTCAGAGGAGAGTACCCTCTAGTACTCGGGAAGGAAAAAGCCCCTTCCTGAAGAAAAAACCTCTCTTCCAGAGCTGCCACCCATAACCCAACAATGGGGTCCAGGCTGTGGTGGAGGAGTCTGAGGAAGCAGACGGGAAAGGGTGGTCTCTTTCTACAGGTCTTAATGGCCCCACACAAGGCCTGGGGGTTACCACTTCGGGAGAGGAGTGGCCAAGCTAGAAGTATGAGTCGGGGTTATGGGGGTCATGGGGGTGAGAAGAGAGGAGCAATACAGTGCATTTCCTCTGAGTCCATTCAGGTGTTTGAGGAGCAGAAGCAAGGTGACAGCTTCCCTCAGAGGCCCTCCAGCTGTGCAGAGAGAGCTGCAAACCACAGGCTCTGTCTGACACCACTACCCCAAAGCCGTTTCCAAGTAGACATTTTGAGCTTGCAGGGGCCAAGACTAGCCCTGGACAGAAATCCGAGTACAGGGCCGGAAAAGTACCCCTTTCACACAGTGCCCTTCCCCAGCCCGAGGAGAGGCTGAGCCTCACTTACACACGTTGACCCAGTCTGTGACCCTGCACTCGTCGCAGAGCACGTAGCAGCACCAGTGGAAGCGGCAGTGGCAGCGCTCGACTCTCGTCTGCTGGAGCACGTTGTGCCCACGGCCACAGCACAGGCTGCTGCAGCCGTCCAGCAGGTGGCTGGTCTTGTTGCAGGCCCGGCCCCTCGTCCCCGGGGATCCCACGGTGGGGTTTCGCTCACAGAAGTCAGGAGACTTTTCAAAGTAGACCAGCTCTCCTGAGAGGCGACGGGGACGCAGGCGGGGTTGGAAGGCTCCAGAATTGCGGTTGTGGGTGTCGATGAAGACAGCTCGCCCCAGCCGCTCCTTCAGCGCTGCCCCCACAGCCCGGAACTCTGGGGCTGCCCTCCAGCACGTCTTAAACTGGCAGCTCCCGGAGGTGCCGTGGCACTTGCATTTCCGCTTCAGGTTTTCAGTTACCACCTAGAGCAGCAGAGGGACAGGAAGTGAAGGAGCAGGCAGCAAGTGAGCATAGCACAGGAGACGGAGAGACACCGGGGACCGTCATGAGTGCGAGACGAGAAGTCAGTTGGCCAACATCTTCACTTTATGATTGGAGAACAAGCCAGAGCAATGTGATTCGCCCATCTTTGATCACTACTGGCAACACAGCCAGGACTCAACTCCAGTTGCCTGACTCCCAGTGCAGAGTAAGCACTGATAAAATGGGGACTGTGGCCCAAAGCGCCCCTAAAATCTATAGAGAAGACAGCTGTAATAACAGCTACCATGTAACAAGCCAAGGACTAGGCCACATGTTGTGCTAGCTCAGCCTTACAGACTTGTGAGGTAGGTTATCATCAGTTTTTTTTTCTTTTTTCTTTTCTGACATGTAGTCAGGCCGGCCTTAACGCCCTATATGACCCAGGCTGATCTCCAGGTCCCAAGGCTCCCATCTTAGACTTCATCAATCTCGTTTTATACATGTGAAAACCTGAGGCTGGGAGTGTTGCTGACAGCAAGAGGCCATCGCCGCCCACCACACTTCGCCACGTTACTCCGCTGAGCCTCTCAGACCCTAGCCAGGCCTCAGAGCCAAGCAAGAGGCAGGTCAAGATGCACACACATACCTGGCGCCCCACCTTGTTGTTGTGGATTCGCATTCGTGCTTGGATGTCCCGGGGAGCTTCCCTGGAATCCAAGAAATCCCGAGAGAACTTCTCTCCAAAGTCCATGTCGTGGTTACAGCCACCCCACTCCCATGTGTCCTGGGGGCCGGGGCCGGGGCCTGTGCCCGGGCCGGGGCTGGGCAGGGAGTGAGGAAAGCTCTTGCCCCGGGACAGTGCCTGGAGCTGCAGGAGTTTGGCCTGCAGCCGATCCTGCTCACCACTGCCCTTCCAGCCACAGCCACAGCTCGCCAGCTTGCCCAGGCTGCAGGCCGTGGCGACCGCATGCATGACCCCAGCGGCCAGCATGGAGAAGGAGAACGCACTCTCACGGAAACCTGGGGGAAAGAAGGGCATGAAGGTGGGGGTGAGGATGAGGAGAGGAAAGGAGCAGCCACCCTCGGTCCGAAATTCCTAACTGAACCCTGACTGCCATACCAGCCCAGTGACCTGCGAGAAGGTCGCAGTACGAGACCGCAGAGCCCCAGTTTCCTCATCTCGGAAGGGAAACTGACAGGTCTAGATGGTGTCTGAAGCCCACTCCCACTCTGCGGCTTTCTGGTGCGGGTGAAAGAGCCGGACCAGAAGCAGAGACCCCTGGGCTGGAGAAGTGACTAAGGAGCCCTGGGGACTTTGAAGATGAGTTCCTGGAGTTCTGCATCTAAAGACTTGGAAACCCTGCAGGGAGCTTGGGTGGGGAAGAAGCAGTCATTTGGGGTTCTTTTTGGTTTTTTGTTTTTTGGGGGGTTTTTTTTTTGTTTTTTTCTGGTACCAGGAATAGAACTCACGACCTTGCGCTTGCCAGGCAGGCGCTGTGCCACTGAGCTAAATCCCCAGCCCCCTTTTGGTTTTTTAAGTATTGTTTAAATCGGTCTTTTAGTCAACCTACTTCTCCACCACCAGAACAGAGCACCCTCAAAGCACTGGACCTACGGGGCTGCCTTCTCTTTTCCAGATTCTAGTTTTATATTTGCCCTTCAAGACTGCCCTTTATGTTTATCCAAACCTGCTATTACCCTATAAAACACTGGGGGGAGGAGCGAGGCAGGGGTGATTTTCCCTACAGCCCTCTTAAAAGGTTGGCCTCCTTGTTATGTTTTGGGGGTCAAGGACCCCAGGATGGTAAGGCTTTCTCAAGCTTAGATAGAGGTCCCCACCGTATGGATGTCAAAATGTTCACCCTTTGGACAAGGAGGGGTCCCTTATTTCATTAGGCAGGAGCTCTCTGGAGCCCTGAGAAGATGAAAGACAGCACCTCCTTAGAGGCCAGAACTTTCTTACCCCAGGATTCAGGGCTCCTGGGCCAGCCTCCTGATCCCCCAACCCCAACCCTTCAAGGGTGAAGCTGTTTGCACAAGTCTTGGGAATTTCCCTGCAGATGGCAGCTGCCTATTAACCCCATAGTCCCCAAAGCACTACCCCTACCCCTTGGGCTAAGCCCCCACGGATCTTCACTCCTCGGGGAGTGAACTCCAGCAGGGTTTGGGGAGAAGCAGTGGAGCCTCCGGGACCACCTCCTCCAGACCAGGTCAGCAAGGGTCTGCTCCGGTCCCTCCAGCTGGTCCTCACCTGCTCAGGTGAACCACACCTGGGGCCCCCATAGCACAGAGGAGGGGGCTGCTCCCCAGCTTCAAAGCCATCAGGGTCTTTGTTCCCAGCTTTGGCTCCTGGGAACCCCAGCAATTAGGGGAGCAGGTTTAACCCTTAAACGGTTGGGGGCGTCACCCCACCCCCGCTGAGACTCTGGGAACATGGGCCTGGGCTTGTCGGGGTTGAGAGGGAGGGGAGAGAAAAATGGGGGAGGGGCTGGGGGGTGTTTGAAGCTGCCAGAGCTGGGGGCATCTCTTGTTCACAGGTGCAGCCCCGATCGCACTGGGCGGAGGCAGGAAAGGGGGGCCCTAGGGTAGGGAACAGGACCAGCTGCCTTGCCAGCAGCGTGCAGGTGGAAGTCAGGCGCGCAAAGGCCCAGAGGGATGGCCAGATCCGGCTCAACGCGGCTCCTGGGGGGAAATTCCCTGAGAGGCCCCTCCCGAAGCTGTGAACCCGTCTCTTCCCGCCTGCGCGCGCCTCGGCCTGCCCCCCAACCCCTGGCATCCACGGGGGCACAGACCAGCCCCGCCAGGCTCACCGCGCTTGAGGATGGCGCTGTGGTGGGGCAGGCGGCCACCACCCTCCAGGGCTGAGCAATTCCAGCGCTGGCTGCGCAGCTGGTGCTGGCACTCGTGGACGGCGATGTGCAGACCCTGGAGTGCCGACGCGGTCACGTCGGGGCTGCGCAGGCACAGGCCCAGCTGCCGCTTGCTCAGGCCGGACAGCGTCAGGCACACGGTGTTGACCGTCAGTGGCGGCTCGCCCGGCAGCTTCAGACCCAGAATCTCATTGCTGAGAGCCCTGGGAGCAGAAGAGGGTCAGGGGTCTGGAGCCCGGCCTCACGCCCGCTGCACCAGCACCACCCGCTCCAGACCGTGCTTCTCCAGTAGGCTGGAAGACGGGGGAACTGCTCACCGACTGCACAAGGCCAGGAACAGGAGACCAGCGAGGCCCCGGGGTGGAGGCCGCTGCAGGGGCTCCTCCAGCATGTCGAAGCCCGGAGGCTCCGGTGGGTGGATGGATCAGCGCCTGCAGGGCAAAAAGACTTGCTGTAGGCTCTGGGATAGGGTGGATCCCCCGGGACATGAAGGATGCCCTACTTCAGGCTCTTAAATCACCAGGGCCACCCGACTGAACTTTCCCACCCCTCTGCAAACAAAGCAGCAAGAATCAACCCTTGATTCCCAGAGTTTCTGGTCCAGGAGAGCTTTGAGGAGGAAGGGTCCAGGCCTCACAGCTCAGGACCCACTGACCACCCCTGGACCCCTGCCCCGTCGGACACAATGCCTGGTACAAGGCACACACTCACATGCAAACGGCGACACACAGACTCACAAACACTCGCTCCACGACCTCACCCACCGCTCCCTCTTCTAGGGCCCCACGACTGGCTTCCCCGCCCTTATTAGGCTAGGGGGCGGGCTTGGGAGGGGGTTCCCCACTACCTGGGGCGGTGTCACCTCCCGGCGCCTGCAGTAGCAGGCAAGCTCCGTCAGAAGGGTCCGGGACTGGGCTCTCCGCCGCCACCCCTGCGCTCTCAGCAGGGAAGGAGGAGGGGCTCCAGGTGCGGCACGGGGACCTGGCGCCTCCTGCAAGCAGGCGCGTTGTCGCAACCGAGTCTCTTCCTTGTCCCACCCCCGCTTTCCCTCCTCAGGGAGCCCCTTCTTATCGTCTTTATTTATTCAGGCACCGGGACGCGAACTCAGAGCCGTGAGCTTGCCGGGCAGGCGCCTGTGCCGCGGAGCCACATCCCGGCCCGCAGCGAGCCACTTGTCCGGTGCCCGCGGATCCGTCTTCTCCCCACCCCACTGCCCTCGCGTCTGGAGACAGCCTTTCATTCCCTGCCTCCGTCGCTAGCAGTGTCTCCGGCTCTCTGCGCATCTGTGCTCTGGGGGTGCGCGTCTGCCTCCGTCTGTCTGTCTGTCTGTCTGTCTACCGCGTGCCTGCCCGCTCCGCGTCCCCGGTCGGATTACCTCCCGCGGCTGGGGCGCAGGGTCCGCGACCCGCACGGCTGGGCCGCCTGGGCTCCGCTCCGGCTGCTCACGCCGCGGGGAGAGCGAGTGGCGGCCCGCCCGCT